TTAATAACAACGGTCGAACAATCATTTTTTGACATTCCAAATCAATAAAAAGGATCTGTGCTCACTTACGGCCGCTTCGTTTGATATCCTTCTGTTCAGGTAACAGCTTTCCATGGTTACATTGCCACTATTGGCAATGTGGCCTCTCCTACAACTGATAGACATAGCATGCGCAGGTTCATCGAAATAATTGCCAGTTCACATGGATCACAAAACGACCGATAAGAAAGGGACGTACCGGCCTAGGCTTGTCCAGGATTGCCTTTTTTAGACAGCCACGTAAATCTACTCTTAAGCCAGTTCCCCTGCGGCCGACTATCTAGCATGGTCACAGCGACCGAACCTCCTTTGTGAGTTAAGTACTTGAGTCGTGTGTGGCTCAGCCGATGGTTCGCCGATTTATGTTTTACTTTTTGGTTACTGACCGCCGTCGGAAGAAGCTCAGGCGCACGTACGTACCTCGTACCGTTGTGATCACAGCAGCAACCGCATAATTTGCTTAAACAATTGCTGTTCCTGCATTCTGAGTAGCCTGTATGCTCCCCGGTCGCAGTAAATTTTTTTCATTTTAACTCTGTCCTCCTCTTCTCGTTGTCGACCTTTCTTACGTTGACAGCCCCCTGCACCGCGGGTGAGTGAATTCGAATAGTGTGTCCCCACAAAGTATAAACAGGCTCCGTCTGTAGGTTAACGCACTGTAAGAAGCAGCGTAAGAAGTACTATTGACGAGAGGAATCAGGGCTTCATCCACATCTTTCCACTAGTGGTAGACCTCCATTCGAATTATAACCAGAAAGCCGTGTTACCGTGGCAATACTTTCGTAATTGATAGTAGACCAGAGACCCATGGCCCAAACAAACGGAAATCAGACACGTCTACTTCAATAAAAGTAGTAGATAGTTAAGTCAAATATATTACGCGTCTTTACTGGCCCGCGTATTAGAATATTAGAAAAGTTCACCTGGAAGAGCACAGCATCTTGGACCAAGAATTTGGGCAGATTACTGTCCTTCAGAGCACGAATCAGAACAACGTCCTCGGGCTTGTCGGCATTCTCGCGTTTCAGGGCGCCAGCCATGACTAAGACAGACTTCAGGGCTCGCATACCAAAATCGTAGTGGTCCTGGCGGGAGAGCTGTTCACTGCACAGTTTGTACATTTGCGTCATCTTCAGTGCCAGTGTTTTTGAGGATTCAAAACCCTCAGAATACAAGATCACCTCGGCAATGAGCTCTGATTGGAGGGAGGGGGAGAGGAATGACAGTTAAGACTAACTTTTTATTGGCAAGGTCACGAGAAAAGGAAGAATAGGGAACAGAAATGGAGAGAAGCTGTAAATACACTTCTTAGCACAACTCAACTTACTATAGTCAGGTACCATCATGGACATTGGTCGGAACAAGGCCTTCAAGTTATCCGGCAACTCTGTTCTGCCAGCGTAGCCGGGGTTCATGGTGATGAATGCAGCGCACGACGGACAGAGTTTGATTTCACGACCCTCAAACATGAACCGACTGACCTGGAAACGAAAAAATCTGCGTTAGGAGTTCTTAAATCCCGGCTGTTGCGCAATTTTATATAGTGTTATACGCGTCTGGTACTAGCCCACCTTCTCCAATATATTTTTTAAAGCAGATTAATTTAAGCGTCCAGTTAGTCCGGTCTTCTATACTAACTGGTTTAGTGAACACCAGAAGACGTTGGTTACAGGTTTAAAATGAAGAGTAATAGCGAAGCGCAGGTCAACTGAAAACAGAAAACTTCCGCGTGTCGCCGGCTCCGAGTTTCTGGACAGAACATATGGCTCTATTGGTATTTTTCCTTTTTACTTCCGCCAGAGGGACCTTGACTTGTGAGAATTGTGATGTTCTGAGTACCCTCTCTACATACACGCATGGACAT